AATAAATCAGCAGCAGCCTTTAGCACCCATGTATTGCGCATGTTCATTTTTCCGGACAGCTTGACAACTTCCACTGTGTCAGCTATTTAAATGAGCTCCAGAAGTTTTGTAAATAAATCACTTAAAGGGGCTTTGTAGTTACCCAAGCGTGTGGTTTCTTAGGGGTGTAATCTTCCAGAGCTTCTGTGAATATCTGAAGAGGTGTGTAAACAGCCTTACATCAATACATTTTCTAGCAGTGCTTTTTCATATCCTTTCGATAAAGAGGGTACCTCTTGCTCAACTTAAAAACTGATTTTTTACAGCTCATCCTAGACTTTGGGCTACTTAATCCCCTGAATTTTTTGCTGCTTAGTTCTGAGGACAAATAAAACTACCTGCCATCTAAACTCTCCCTGGAAGTATAGGTAACACATCCTTCCACCTCCCTCCAAATCACGTATCTGTAGTATTGAAGTTTCTCTCAGGAGACTGAAACAAAAGCAGTCATGTTTCTGCCTGCCTGGCCTACTAACCATCCAGCTTGGTTTATTAGCTTTTTGGTTTCCCACATGTAAAACCCGTTATCTCAAATCTGAACATGGAACTCCAGTCCATGTGCCTGTAGATTTTTTTTAACTTAATCTTATACCTCATGACACAAAAGTATGTTTGCATTTATGCTGACCAAAGGCGGAGTTCCCTCTTGCAGGTTGCTGTGTTGTGCTGCTGTGGAAATTTCCAAAAAGAACTAGATAACAGAAAGGAAAAGCTGTGTGTGGATGTGAAGTCTGTACCACTCCAGCGGTAAGAACCTGAGGGCTGAAAGCATCTGTGCCGCGGTGGGGAGGATATGTCAGTGCAGCACTCCATCCGTACCTGCCAGGTAGCGTGCGCTGCACCGAGGGACGGTGATGGAAGTGCCTGCAGACCCATCACTTTCCCTTCCCTTTCTCCTTTCTCTCCTCCCCGTCTACACCTACAGCCTTGATCATGGCAATCATTGCAGTTTGGGGGACAAGGTGATTAGTAAGCTTTTCAAACCTTTTTAAAAAGAAGAAAGTCTGAAAAGAAGGATTAAAAAAACTCCAAATCATTTTCCACAGCTAAAGGCCTCTCTGCATTCGTTCTGTTCCCTTTAAAGTCCAGAATGCTTGCGTTGGTCGGTTTTGGGGGGTGTGGGATTTTTTTCTGTGTCCTAAGCAACTTCATATTTCCATAAATTAGAAACACATTTAAGTTTTGGAAAACAATTTTTTGGCAGTTGTTTTTACAAGAAAAACATACTGCAAACACAACTCCAGACTGTGCTGCAAAGACCTTCCAGGTTGGATTGTACTGAGCAATGCAGGACCAGCCTAAATATTTGAGCAAACTGGCACATCACCCAAGACCAGCACACAAAGCCAGCGTCTTAGACACAGTTCACATGTAAATGTGATAGTAGGCTCACATTGGTTAGTCTCTCAAGCAAGGTAATCTGGAAATAAATCCACAGGGGTTTTGTATTTTGGGAGAGTCCAAGATGACTGATCTTTTCAGATACAGAGCCATAACTGGTTCAAAAAGGGTTGCATGGATGTAGGCAGGTAATAGTGGAAGCTTAATACTTGTGCGTGAAAGCAAGAGTAAGTAAAACCGCTGAAGTGACTGCTGAGTCCACTAAGATAAAGCCACATCAAAGAGTTATTCACTCCTTCCAATAACATTGAGGGGCAACGGATGACAATTAAGTGTTCTTTCATTACAAATTTCTTCAAACTAATTTAGAGACAGCACAGTCTGATAGTCCAAAGAGATACTAGTTTTTCATTTAATCCAGATGACACACTAGATTAGATTAACTGAGTCACTAAATCCATTAATGACATAGATTATTTTTCAAATCATAAAAAATCACTGCTGTAGACTGTGTTCGTTTTCCCCTGTAAAGCTTGATCAACATGAATAAGGACAAAGCCTTTTCCAGTAGTGAATATTGACTCGGCATGCCTATAAACTTCATACGCTCTCTCTGAAGCACCTGAGGAGCACACTTTACAGCAGCACTGAGAACACACCCTCTAAGCAAAAACCTGTCCTTTTGCAGTGTTCTATACTGTTACCTCAAAACTTCCAAACCAGGCACCATTTGAAAGACTCAGTCTAAATTTCAAGATAAGTATACTGCTAAATTGCCAGTGAGAATCTGGGAATGCCTGCAATCTGTAAGACCAGACAAAGAGTTCAATATTTAACCATGTGCCTAAGAACTAAGATACAGTTACAAAGAGAAATGCATAAAATCTTACTTCTTTGACCTTTATTAATTTAATATTTTTAAAGATATAAAATGGACAATAGCAGCATCAAAAATCTCATTTTATAGCTTCAAGGGTCTGTACAAACATCCTCTGTTTACTCACAAATGACAACAGATTAGCTTGCGGCAGATTAGATAGGAAATCTGTGTGGCACATCACGTCACACTGTAATGAAGAAGGAAACTAGGAGAAGTTTGGAACAGAAGAGAGAAAGTTGGTTTTCTCACATAAACCCTTACAAAAGAGTGTCACGCCGTTCCATTTGTCTGGTAAACACTTGTGGTAAAGACCATGGGGAAATGCAAATATAGAAAGTAACATCTGTAAAATCCTGTTTTAAAATCTCAGCACCATCAATACACAGAACTTGCTGTGCTCTCACGCTCAGTGCTACAGTATATGCTGAACTTTCAATGAAAACAGGAAAAAAAACAACTCTTATTTGCTTTATCTTCAGTATATGTTTTTGTCTATATTTTGCTTTTCATTGAATTGCAAAGTCCTGAAGTTACATGTTTGTCTGGTTCTTCTGCTCATGAGTTTTTCTCATACATACACCTAAAGTTATATTATAGTACACTGTTACAGAAAGTGCTTCAAAGTACACACAATACGCAAATGGTTTCAATCCTTCACTGTGTAGATGCTGTTTCCTTGAAAGCATTGGAGAAATAGGGACAAGGTATGCTAGGATTATGTCATGATGATGAAGTACAGATATTTCTAGCATGGAATTCAAATAAGCCATTCCAGAGATGTACTAGTAAAATTTTCATTTGACAGCTGTTTTTCTGGGTTTTGTTTTGGTTTGGTTGGTTTTTTTTTTAGTATTCCAAGTTCATGCAATAGCGAGACTTTAAACCGAGTTTCCAGTTCTGATTGGCAAGAGGTACAGCACAGATATAACCTGGGGGAAATTCCATGTTTGAGGAAATGCATTCTTGGTGTGTGTCTGACGTCATGCAAATGTTGAGGATGCGACAGAGAGAGGAGTAGGCAGGATCATCATGCAGTATATTCCCTTCTTCTGTTGCCACTTTGCTCATCCTCGCCACTGTTATGCTACACTGTCGATGCCAAATGAGACTATCTCACTTGATCTGAGAAGAGTAAGCATAGTTTTGCCTGCAGCTGGCTAAGACTCTTTCTCCAGTAGTGAAGTACTGTGTAAGTGTTATATCAATTCTTAAGCTTCATGCAAAAAAGAGGAATAATCCCCGTGGGTTCAGCTACAGCCTTTCTTGCAGGATTTGCTCATAGGCTTCCTATAGCAAGTACCAGTTAGCCTTAACCTTGCTTACTTAGAGAGACAATACTACATGAAACAGACTGTTATAATGTATAGTTACAATGTATAGTTATAGTATAAAGTATAACTCATTGAAACCACAGAGCACCCCTGTCAGATGCTCAGTATTTGCCAAGCTGAATTAAGCGGGTTTTCCAGAACTGAGAGGGCAACTTTGGGATACCTCAAAATGGCTAAATAGCTCGAAGAAATCAGAGACTGTATTTTGCCTCCTGCATTTGGCAGAAAAAAGAATACTTCCTTCTCTTTGTAGCACACCCCAAAATACTTAAGATTATAACCATCAGAAAGATTGGGAATTCTTTCAGCTGAATAGATGCATGGCAAAAAATCCAGTTTTGTATTCTTTTAAGCCTCAGTTTTTGCTCTCAGGATGTGTCACGTTCTTACCACTGAAAAGAAGGGTTGCTCTTCTGTGATATCCAGAGAGCAGAGAGAGTAGTTAAGTAAGATTGCAGCATTTTGTACTGTTTATGAAGATGTTTATGAAAATTATTTCCCATCATCAGAAAGATGTAGTGTCCAAAAGTGCTGTTCCCTTTATAAGTTCACATTGTTGGAACTACTAAGGGTTCTCTCTTCTCCTGGACAAACAGCCTCTGTAAGGTCACACAATCCTCTAGACATAACATAATGACAAAGACATTTTTGGATGATGATGCATAAGTGTTCATTACACACTCTGTATTATTTGCACTTTCTCTGTTTCCGTCACTATCCTGAGAGATTTATTAGTAATAAAGGACAGAAGATTATAAGCATTAAAATGTTATGTAATGGACATAAGAAGTCCATATGGATGTCTGCTGAATGAGACATGGAAGACCTGCTTCTCTCTTCATGCTTATTTTTTTCAGTGTGACTTCTGTGAGACTACATGACAATGTTCTATATACAACTGTTCTTCTAGCAACATGTAGCCATTTTGTTCTACGGTTTAAGATTCTGAGAGGTTTGATTCTATTTCCCTGAACTCTGCTTGAAAGAATAATCTATTTTGTAGCAACTCTGTTTATATTCCTTGCCAGGTTTTTGCATGCAAGTAACAACTAATTGATGTGGTTGTGGAGGCCCAATGCTCCCTTTTATTAAGTGGCTGCTTAATGTTCTGCTCTCAGACCATAAATTTAGTGAAAATTATGCAAGCTTCTCACAAATGTAATCATAAAATTTCACCATGGCTTTTTAAACTGCATTCTTCAATATTCTATTTCTACAAAATTGAAAACTATTTAAAAATAACACGTGATTCTGGAGAAAAAGTAGTTCACTTTTGAAATAACATGACAATATTTTAGTAAGAAAAGTCTGAAACTTTGAAACTCAAATAAACAATAGCTATGCAAAAGGAATTACACCTGTTCCTAATATGAAGAGGAATGAATAAAACTAAACAGAATATAATTTTAAAAGAATGACCATATTTATTTTCTATTAAAAACAGACAGTACTTCAAGGTTTAAAATATAAATATCAAAATTATTGCAGAGTTAGCCAACTAGCTTTGTTTGGCAGCAATATTTTACAACATCACTGTGCAATAATATACTCTGGCAGATTAAACTCCACAAAATCCATGATGTGTACCTTTTCTGTTTACATCATAAATCATCCTACAACAGTAAGATAATTGTTCTGGCGTATGTATAAAACATCATACAGTAATACAATACATGCTTTATGAAAGCTGAAAAGAAGGAAAGAAGAGAGAATGTCTCTTAATGCTTCCCTTACACCTCTGAGTCAAACAAATTTAAGCAACAGATATATACCCTCTCATTTGCAGTCATTTAACATAGGCAGTTCCAACTATACATACAAATACACATATATTAAGGGGATTTGTTATAAATAACTACTGTTTTTACAGGCAGCTTCAAATACACAATTTTCTGCATGTCTTTGAAAAATCAATGTCCCAGTTTAGTCTATAAAAAATAAGAGTTCATCCACAGGGAAATATCCTTAATTAGAATGCGACTCTGTGAATGTCCCAAAGAGTTTGTCCCAGTGGGTGAAGTAAGGAGCATAGTTTGATTTGAACTTCAGATGATGGAGATCATGATGTGGTGCTCCTCCAAACAAACCAAAAGGCACAAGGTGGTGAGTTGACCATGGAAGGTCGTATCCTGAATGGTCCTCCACTGACAACCAAATGTTTACAAGGAAGAAAATCATTTCTGTCAAAGGATGGCATCCGAGGAGCACTGGGTTGATAGCAGCAAAAAAACCCAGCGAAAGCAATTCCCATATGCTGGAATACTGTGTAGTAAGAGCAAACGTTGACACATGCTTGTGATGCACCTTGTGGAAGGTCTTGTAGAGCCAAGGCACCTTGTGATGAAGCAAATGCCACAGGAAGTACTCAAAATCAAACAGAAGCAGGCAAACTCCTACTTCCAGCAGGACCTCAGGAAGCTCTGGAGCTATCACTGGTAGATTCATTGGTCTCCAGTACCAATGGAGAAACGTCACCGGGAAGATGAAAACAACATGGTGATACACGCTTTGAATAATGCAAGGCACCATCATTCCAAGAGTTGGATAGTTCTGCGGCTGGATTTTGTATTTTCTCAGATTTGGTAGTCTAGTGCTTAAAAAGTCCAGTGCAATATATGGAAGACAGAAAGCCATGTATGCTGTAAAAGAAAACAGCACTGGAAAAAATGGTGACTTGATCAATGTCTCCTTTGCTGTGACAAAGTCCCAAAGAGACTGAAGGCACAACCTGTCCCGCTGTCCATCCATCGCATAGCTGAGCAGCGCTCTGTCTGGCAGGCTGCGGTTCATGCTGATCGCAGTCTGAGACGTCTGGAAATCCTGCAAGCCTTTATCTAGCCTGCTCAAGGGAAAACTCCGCCCATCAGAAATCCTTACTGAGAAATACGTAGCTTTAAAGAGGAAGTTCCCTTTCCTGTTATACCGAAGCTGTATAATGTAACAGAATTAGCTGGCCAGGGTAATCAGTGGAGCTCTACAAGAGACTTGCATGATAGGAAAATTAAGCAGAAATGCAGAACTCTTAACAGTGGAATTCAGAGAAAGAAGGTAGGATCATTTTCCACTCCACGTAGTGCACACTCGAAAAACTGCTGTCTCTTACTAATTTAAAATTGTGTCATCCTTTGTTATCCTTTTGCCTTTACAGGTAAGGAAATACAACCTACTAGTGATTTTTTTTTTTTTTTATGTGACTGCTACCAAAGATGTACAGGTACCTAAACCCCAGGTCTGACCTGTGGATGTTTGGTGGGTAATGGATGTGTGCAAACACACATTTTCTTAGTGATCCCTTGGGTATACAACAGGCTAAGTCAAAACCTTTAGGAGAACTACACTATGCTTCCAGTCTGAATGCGGTGGCTGTGACTTATCTCCATCTACTTTTGAGGTCGTGTTCTCCTTTATGCTCCTGTATCTACTTGACATAGCAAAATCCACCTGGCTTGACTAGATGCAAAATTGAGCCAACAACTTTTGAAGAACAAAATATCCCCCAGTTGCTAGGAAGAATACAAGACAAAACCTCATTATTCCTCCAAACAGACACTTAGTGCATTATTGCATTATTACAATATTCACTCCACATCTCAACAGTTCTTTGAGCAATATCATATGGAAATCATCCTTTACCCAAGTATCAAACTAACATGCAATTAAAAAATCCACTGGTTAGACCTATGTCCTTTAAAGGATCTTCCTTTGACCACAGGCAAGCACACAGCAGACAGAAGTTAGCAGGCTTGACTCCCAATATTTCTAATTTGCTAAAAGTATTTTAGGGGTAAACGATGGAGGTTTTGATTTAACCACTAAGACATCACTTCTTTTGTGCTTTCAGAAAAAGAAAAACAAAGCTTTGAACATGTAGGAAAACAGACCTTGCCATCAGCTTCCTATGAACTCACCTCTTTTGTAGGTACAGCATCTATTCTAATATTGGAAATGAGCTCAACTTCCTGGATGGCTTTATTAGCTTGTTCAGACGATTTTAGTTCTTTGCTATTCAGAAAAGAAATCTGATGAAGGAAAATGGAAGACACAATTTCCTTGCTTCTCAATAATTAAGAATGATTAACTAGCAGTGACCTTTTCTGAACTATGCATGGACTTCTAATACTTAAGTTTACTTGCAGTCTCGACTTTTTTCTCTTCAAGAGATTCTGCTCTTAAGGAAGCGCAGATTTTGCTCTCTCCTTAGGCTTCAAGGATTCTACTGAAACAGTAACATTATCTGTGCTATTATTCAGGCAATCAGAAGTTCTTTGTTGGAGACAGGTATGGTACAGCCTTCAAAGACTCTCCCTGTTCCATATATATTTTAGAAATAGATTCAGATTCTCTGCTGTTGTGAGACTGTTCTGTTGAACTCAATTAATTCAGACTGTTGAATGTAGTGAAACTAAAACGCAGTGAGAGACAGTAATTTAATGGATGAGGACCTATATCCAAGAGCTTCATTTCAATCTTCTGATTGTATTTTATCCTGACCTCCATTTCACAATAAGGACACGAAAAATTCATTTGTAACTCAATCACCGTCTGGGTCTGAAAATATTCTTGTGAAAGATGCTTTCTGTTGACTTACGTAGTTACAATCAGAAATTAAGCCTCCCAGATGGGATACGCAATCCTCTATTTTATTAGAATTATGCAGAGACTAAATTTATTCTATAATGTATTCCAAATCTGCCTAAAGGGAGATTGACAGAAATTGCTCAGCTGCCCTAAAGACACTCCTCAGACTAATCCCTAACAGCCATGTGAATTCTCAAGAAGTTTTAGAACCACTGCTGCCTGTAAGCTAAAATTTAAAGAATAGGCATTTTGCCTGCAGATTAGGTCATAGGAAAATATTCCTAAATCCCGTAAGGAAAAATAACGGAATTCTGCAGGCTTATTACTAGTATATCCTGCAACACAAAGCACAAGCAAGGCTCAAGGTGAGCAGAACTTACTGGGAGCCTGGCGCAGCCCGGAGCCCGGCTCCCCACACCGCAGGGCCGGCAGCGCAGCCAGCCGCGCTCCGCACCCCATCTGCTAGCACTCTGCAGGATGGGCTCTGCCGGCAAGGCTCACCTGGATGGGTGCTGAGTCAGGCTCAGCGAGCAAGCTCAGAAAAATGAATCCTCATGCATCAGAGAGGGCAACCCCTTATTCTCCAGAAACTGAGTTCAAGCTGTTGGGCTTAGCCACCAAAAAGCACTTACCGCATCTTTGTGCTCTGCTAGCTTAGGTTTCTTCATCAGTGCAAGGTACAACGTGAAGAAAAGACGAAGTAGACACAAATCCTTTCTGTACTTAATTCAGTAACACAACCCCAACTTTTTTCGCTCAACTTACAATGCTGCCAAACTTTCCCATGTGTTACAAGACTCGAAATGGGTCTCTCAAAAAATCAAGACTCCTGCTACAGAGTTTAGGTTGAAGGGCACATAGTTTGGAATGAGGCCCCGCAAAGGGTCTTAAATAGATTCCACATGAGCACAAGACGCAAGCACCTACCCCAAGCTGCACCGTTAGGCACAAGCTATAAGGTAAACAGCAAAACACCACGTGGGTCGGAAAATGAGGAAAAGTTAGCAGAACGGAAAAACCGGGACTAACATACTGCAACTAATGTCACAGCAGCAGAGGCAAAATTTCTTTTTCCCCTCCTCCTCCTCTTCTCCCCCTCTGCAGAGTAGGATTATTGTTGTACCAGAGATAAGGCAACATCCCAGCGCATGCTGAGCCTTCTACCAGAAAAAGGGTGCCGAGGAAGAGGGTTAATAACGTGTTCAGGACAGTAGCAGGGAAGCGGGACAGTAAGCAGAGCAGAGGAAGGCAGAGGCAGTCCCTTCTCTCATCTGAAACGCAATCGTGACCGTGCTGAAAAAACAGAGAAAGCTGGGGCTCCGCGTGCAACAGCGCCCCCTGGTGCCGAGCCCCCCGGCCCGCAGCTCGGCCCCG